AATTGCTGTAATCCAGTTTCAGTATCCATTTCCCATTTTTTTTACTTTAAATCAGCTCTTCAGTCTGTTCACACTGAAACCAAATTGCTGTAATCCAGTTTCAGTATCCATTTCCCATTTTTTTTACTTTAAATAAGCTCTTCAGTCTGTTCACACTGAAACCAAATTGCTGTTATCCAGTTTCAGTATCCTTTTCTCATTCTTTAGGCTTTAAATCAGCTCGTCGGCCTGTTTACACTAAAACCAAATCACTATAATCTAGTTTCAGTCTCCATTTCCCATTCTTTTGACCTTAAATCAGCTCTTCAGTCTGTTCACACTGAAACCAAATTGCTGTAATCCAGTTTCAGTATCCATTTCCCATTTTTTTTTACTTTAAATCAGTTCTTCAGTCTGTTCACACTGAAACCGAATCACTATAATCCAGTTTCAGTCACCGTTTCCCATTCTTTTGGCTTTAAGTCAGCCTTTCAGTCAGTTCACACTGAAACCGAATTGCTGCAATCCAGTTTCAGAGGAAACTGCGGTTCCTCAGAGGAAGGGGTTGTGGCTTTGGCCGGGGTGCTGTGTTTGTCGGGTGGAGGGTGTGAGGGGCAGCAGTGGCTGCGGCAGGTTGCTGGGCAGGTCCAGCAGGCCGTGGGGCGGCTGTGTGAAGGACGAGGGCAGAGTCTGGGGGTTCTGCTGCAGGACAGGCAGAGGGAGGGAGGCACTGTAGGACAGAGCGTGAGCCGGCAGCGGCGACGTGGAGTGAGGACGCATCTGATTCAGAGTCAGTCTGGGCTGCTCACAGTGGAAGGGGTTTGTGGGAGATGGTGTGCTCAGACCTGCACGGGTCACAATATATCATTAGACTCTTCTGCCCAACAAGGCTGCATTTATTTGATTAAAAATACTGTAAGAACAGTAACATTGTGAAATATTATTACAATTTAAAATAACTGTTTTCTATGTGAATATCTGTTAAAGTGTCATTTATATCTGTGATCAAAGCTGAATTTTCAGCATCATTACTCCAGTCTTCAGTGTCACATGATCCTTCAGAAATCATTCTAATATGCTGATTTGCTGCTTAAGAAACATTTCTGATTATTATCAATGTTGAAAACAGTTGTGCTGCCCAATATTTCTGTGGAAATTTTTCAGGATTCACAGAAAGTAAAAAAAACAGCATTTATGAGAAATATAAATATTTTGTAACATTACACATGTCTTTACTGACACTTTTGATCAATTTAATACATCCTTGATGAACAAACATATTTCTCTGAGAAAAAAAAGAGGAAAAAAAACTTACTTATCCCAAACTTCATATACCTGAGAACCAGAACTGCATGATATATTAAAACTTTTTATATAATCTATTTATCTTAAATTGAGTTTATTTCTTCTTTTCCAATGGCAAATTGTTTTCACTGGTTTTAAGCATAAATCTCATTAAATTGTGTTAGATCAATGCCTAAAATAAATAAATAACTATTGTGCATTCACCTCACTTTTATATATTTTAAAACAAAATGTTTTTCTTTAAAATATACTGACAAAATGTAGATTTTCTCATTAAAGCAACTTTGTAAAACAACTCTTTTTATCACTATTTACTCAATGCTGAAAAGGTGAACGTTAAGAAAACAAATCAAATATATTATTTATTATATCTGATAAAAAAAGACATTCAAAAAGCTTTTTTTTATATATATAAAATGCAAGTCATGATGACCTGCAAAATATGCTAATTGTTCTTTTAAGGTCTAAATTAAATTGTAAGGAGTGATTTTGCACTGGAAATGTAAGTGCTTAAGAGTACTCAGTTTGAAATAAAAGTATTTGGCTTCAAAAGCATTTAAGAAAAATATAAATTCCCCAAAATAATAAGCGTGTCTGAGTGTGTGTTTTCCTACCTGACAGGAAGGGGTTTTTGCTCTTGACCGGTGGGTTGGTGGGAATGAGCGTGTCCAGGTTGACGAGGGAGGCAGCAGTGGGGTCGAGGAACGCCTCAGGGGTCCGGCACTGTCTAGGGCTCACTGCGTCCAGAGGAGGCCCAAGACGAGAGAGGTCAAAGGTCTCTGGACTGTCATTCCCCCGTCCGTTCACTTGAACACCCACCACCAACTCGCCGAACTGATCAGCATCTGAAATGAGAGATGTGAATGAGCTTCAGCTTGACTCAGAGAGGAAAACGATTGTGAAGAGGGTCTGGTTTGGTGTGATGAGGACCTGCAGGACTCTCACAGCGAGGACTGAACACTCGGTTTGGCTCCGCCTGCTCCACTATAGGCTCCTCCCCCTCCACTCTAAGCTCCTCCTCCTCTGGAATAGTAAATGGGTCCTTCACACTCGACACTGGAATGAAGTGCAAAGAATCTAGAGATGGATCTCTAGCACTACAAATATTTACTTAAAGTGAAAAATGGTGCCTATCTTCTTGCAATTTCAAGTTTCAAATAAATAATAACTGCAAGATATAAACCCGCAATTCTGAGAAAAAAAGTTTTTGCGAGTTTCAGATAAAAAGTCACAATTACAAATCAAAATGTATCTCACTTTGGTTTTTAACATGAGGTGTTGTACCTGGTCGCGCTGGGCTCCTCCAGGCTTTTTCATCTATGTTAGAGGTGGAGTTTGAAGGCAGGGCATCCCAGGGGTCAGGAGGTGATTGGTGGGTTCCCCATGGGTGGGCGGGGCTACTGGAGGAAGAGCGGGCCGTCCAGGGACTATCAGCCACCGGGTTACTAGACTTAACTACAGCTGAATCAAACAACCAAATCAAAATACATCCGCACAAAGAATCCTTTAAATATTTTTGTCTTACTGTGGAGTTAAAATATCGAAAACCCCCCAAAACAAAATGTATTTTTTTTTATATCTTTACGTTCTACCATGAAATGTGGTTCAAATAATCAGTCAGTTGTTATTTCAATGTTTATTGAAATATTTAAACAATGCAGAAACAACTTTTAATGCTAAATAGTTTTAACCAGTTAACAAAACACTAATAAATCAATGTTGAAATGTAAATTTTTTTTACATTTAAATAAAAAAACCTAAAGAAGCGCTCACACTGTGACCGCAAGATAATTTAAAGATATTTTTACTTGACCAATGTTCGAAATGCGGTTGAAATAATGTCAGTTGTTGTTTCAATGTTGATAAAAATTTGTTGAAACAACATTTAATGGCAAATAGTTTTAGAAGGTTTACAAAATATTGATGAATCAACTTTTTAACAACATTTTAACAAGATCTGTATGAAAAATAAGACGTTGAAACCACGTTTAAAAAAAAAAACATCCTCAGTGCACTGTGAAAAAGTATTTTTGTCTTCTCAAATACAAAGTCTAAATATCCTTAAAACAATCAATTTTTGGGATACGTTTATTTTGACCTTTTTACTTTTTAAGAACAAATCAACATCTATAACATTGATTAACCCATGAATGAATGATGAAATTGTGACTGGGAAGTCAAAAAAGACTAAATAACTCATTAAAAAGTTTTTTTCTCCAGTTTTACAGTTTACATAATTTTTAGATATTTTACTTGACCAACCGTCTACGTTGAAATGTGGTGGAAATAATCTCAGTTAATGTCAGTTTCAGTGTAGATAAAAACATTCTTAAACTATGTTTATTGCTAAATAGATTTAAAGGGTTAACAAAACACTGATACATGAAAGTTGTACATTTTAAAGTAAATTTTACTTGACTGACATTCTACGTTGAAACGTGTTTGAAATAATGTCAGTTGTTGCTTGAACATTGATCAAAACGCTGAAACAATGTTAAATATTAATGTTAAAATGTTTAACATTAAAAGGTTATCAAAATACTAGTAAATCATCATTTTTAGAAGTGTTCGCACTGTGACCGCAAGATATATGCAGTGATGTTGAGGAATCGTGAACTCTTATTATAACTGACGGACTGTGATTCACAGTACTGAGAGCGCTCATCACTGACCGACAGACTCCCAGGGGTCAGAGTTCACGGAGCAGGTGGGCGGGGCGTCCCAGGGGTCGTCGCTGACCTGCGCGGCAGGCGTGGGACCGAATATATCCACCAGATCGATCATGACCGACTGCGAGAGGAAATCAACGGTGAGCCGCTCTGAAGCTCAGCAGATCATGCAGGTGTTGAGTGTCTCTCTCACCTCTGAAGGCCGCGGGTCTCGCTCGCCCTTACTCTCCTCCAGAGTCTCCTGCAGAGGAGCGTCGTCCCCCTGATGGCTGCACTGCTCCTTCAGGAGACAAAACAAGCTCAGCACCAGAAGCTGAAGCCGATGCTGTTCGTTAGTGCAAGGATTAATTAGGATGAAAAGAGCAGGAGGTTCATAAGCTCCGTGACATTCACAGGACATCCACAGACAACACTGCAGGAGAAATACCGCTAGAGATTAGAGAAGAAATAGTTAGTACAAGCTAGACAAAGAAGTTAAAACATGCAAAATACAGAAAAAAAGATAGAAATTGTAAAGGTTAAAAATCAGTCTTAATAGTTTAATCCAGTGCTTCTCAAGCTTTTTGACTGAAGGGCCCACGATGGCCAACATATTGGCTTGTTTTTATTTACATATTGGCTAACTTTTTTATTAACAGGAACACTGGGAGTATTGATATATTATGTAATATTGTATTAAAATAATCAACTATGATTCATTTTGTGACTAGAGAAGTTTCAAGAACTGCATGTTCTTCAATTAAAAGAAAACATTATTGTGGGGGGGGGAGTATTTTTTTGTATAATTTATTATTTTGATTATATTATAATGATACTGTCAGTCTTTTGGATCCGTTTTACCCCCGTAGTTCTTCCTGTGTTTCCTTATATGGTCTTTTTCTTGTTCTTGTTTAGTTTGATTGCTTTATGATTCCTTGCACCTGTGTTGAGTTCCTTATTATCCTGTGTATATAAGTTCCTGTTTGCTCTCTGTTCCTTTGTCGGATCTACTCGTTAGTTACGTGTGTTTGTGCTTTTCCTATGTTGGATTATTCCCCTGCGTTTTCATCATTAAAGACAGTTAAAGTTTATTCATGCCTCCCACGTGCTTCCAGCAAGACACACCGTGACAGAAGATCCGACCAAACAAGATGACTGCAGCTGAAGACAGGCTTTGGTATCTGCGGCAGGGTGGTCGGCAGTTGGAGAGGTAAGTAGAGGAGTTCCTAGAGCTCTCCAACCAGGTGATCTGGTTTGACGCCGCTCTGTGTCTGTTTTCGGCTGGGGCTGGATGATGACATAATCGGCTGCGATCTTCCCACGTACAGTTTTCCCCTGATCGAGTTGGTTAATCATGTCCTTTATTTAAATGGTGTAAGTCTCAAAGTAGAAGAGGTTCAGAGCGATCATCACCCATTACCTCCCCGAGAAGCACTGGGCCTCGCCAGCTCACCCCTCGCCAGGACCCTCCACATACCCGGCCAAATGTTCCGACCACCCATCTCCTCCCAGCACCGTCTCTGTCCTCAGCCTAGAAACGCCGGCCACGCCGTTGTCAAGCCCGCCCGCCGCAGCTCCCACAAGCCTGCCGGCCGCTCCTGAGTCAAGTTCGCCGGGCCGCTCCGAAGTCAAGCCCTCAGCCGACAGCAACTGCCTAATTCACCACAAATTAAAAGAGGAACCTGAGGAAAAGGCTGTCGGCTCCAGCCCCAGAGCTCGCTCCCGTGTGCCCTACAGTGCCCGCTCCTCGTAAGTGCCTTCCAGAGCACCCTCAAGTGCCCGTTCCCCCAGAGCTCGCCCCACAGCTCGCTCCCGTGTAGGCTCCAGCCCCAGAGCTCGCTCCCGTGTGGGCTCCAGCCCCAGAGCTCGCTCCCGTGTGGGCTCCTGTTCCCGAGTTTAGCCCACGGAGGGCCCCAGATCCCGAATCCAGCCCAGAGTGGGCCCCAGATCCCGAATCCAGCCCAGAGTGGGCACCAGATCCCGAATCCAGCCCAGAGTGGGCTCCAGTCCCCGAGTTTAGCCCAGAGAGGGCTCCAGT